ATTTCTATAATAACATACCTATCTAATCAGCAAAACCAAAATTAGCATTTTCTTTTCTTTTTTTATCACAAGCACAAGCAGTTTCCAAATGGAAGCAAAATTAAATATGTTCTTTTAATTTAATCATCCCACTTTTTCTCGCTGTGGAAAATAATATATATTTCTTATTACACTTATTAATCATTATAAACTATAATGATTGATGTTAACATAATTTACTACACTATTTCAGATTTTTTAATCTTAATTTTTTTTAAAAAATCATTTTAAAACTTTACATCTTTTTTTGAAAATATTTCTAAAATCAATGAATTCTAAATTCTAATATATCTTTTTATTTTCTTTTTAAAATATATATTCAAGTTCATTCTCAATAATATTTTACAAGCTTTAGAAATAAGTATTATATATCAAACAAATTCAGACTCACTTTTATAAACAGAAAATTACATTCAAGCTTTTTTTTCAAATACATATAGATATCAGACATGTAGAAATCCTCTCTAACTCTAATTAATTGATTACATGTAAGTCACTCCCTCCAGCTTGTTTTGACAGAATAAATCTTTTTCTCTGTAATATCTATGAAGTAATATTACAAATATCTCAAATTTTCTCAAATAATTCTCAACCTTTTTAGTATCTATGAATTAAAAATCCCCAACTTGTCCTCTTGAGTATTGTAGATTTGATTGGAGCTCTTTTTTTCAGTTGCACTGGGAGGGTTGTATTTAAACCATCATCATATAAAGATAGATGTCAGATTTATACTCCAAAATTTACAGTTCAGTCCTTTATCAGATATTTGTGAAATTGCCTCAGTTGTTTGATAACTTTCTAAACATTACTGCATCTCTAAATTGCTCATCTTTCTTCCACCTTTAATACATAATTGATCTAAAAGTGAATGGTTTTCTGTAAACATTTTTCTAATATCTTTCTAAAAATATGCTCAAATTCATATTTTGTCATCTTCTTAGCTCTCTCTTGTGGTCAAAAAAGAGATTTTTAAATAAACCAAGTAATAGTTCCTGTCCAATAAGGATTCATAAAAATTGTTTCAGCCACCCTTAACAAAGTAATCCAGAGCTACAGATTAATTAAAATAGTAAAATAAAACCACATTACTCCATCAAATGGCATCTTCATAGGATTTTTTTTCTGCCCTTCTACCTCATGCTTTCTCCTTTTCCCTTTCTCCTCCCCAAATTTTCCATCATTT